CTCAGTTGTTAACAGATCTAAATGTAAATACTCGTAAAGCTGAATACTGACCTCGATCCATCCATCCATCTTCTCCCGCTTATCCGTGGTCGGGTCGCGGAGGTAGCAGTTCCAGCAGAGAGCCCCAAACTTTCTTTTCCCTGGCCACATCAATCAGCTCTGACTGGGGGATCCCAAGGCGCTCCCAGGCCAGCGAAGAGATATAATCCCTCCACCTTGTTCTAGGTCTACCCCTTGGTCTCTTCCCAGCTGGACGTGCCTGGAACACCTCCCTAGGGAGGCGCCCAGGTGGCATCCTAACTAGGTGCCCGAACCACCTCAACTGGCTCCTTTCGACGCGAAGGAGGAGCGGTTCAAATCCGAGTCCCTCCCGGATGACCGAACTTCTCACCTTATCCCTAAGGGAGACACCAGCCACCCTGCGGAGAAAACCCATCTCGGCCGTTTGTACCCGCGATCTCGTTCTTTCGGTCATGACCCATCCTTCATGACCATAGTTGAGGGTAGGAAAGAAAATGGCGCGGTAGACAGAGAGCTTTGCCTTCTGGCTCAGCTCCCTTTTCGTCAAAACGGTGCGGTAAAGCGACTGCAGTACCGCTCCCGCTGCTCCGATTCTCCGACCCATCTCACGCTCCATTGTTCCCTCACTCGAGAACAAGACCCCGAGATACTTGAACTCCTTCACTTGGGGTAAGGACTCATTCCCTACTTGGAGTTGACAGTCCATCGGTTTCCTGCTGAGAAATGGCCTCAGATTTGGAGGTGCTGATCCTCATCCCAGCCGCTTCACACTCGGTTGCGAACCGATCCAGTGAGTGCTGAAGGTCGCAGACCGATGAAGCCATCAGAACCACATCATCTGCAAAAAGCAGTGGTGCAATCCTTAGTCCACCGAACTGCAGACCCCCTCCCCCACGACTACGCCTCGAAATCTGATCCATGTATATTACAAACAGGATTGGTGACAAAGCGCAGCCCTGGCGGAGGCCAACCCTCACCTGAAATGGGTCCGACTTACTGCCGAGGACCCGGACACAGCTCTCGCTTTGGGAGTACAGAGATTGGATGGCCCTGAGTAGAGACCCCCTCACCCCATACTCCCGCAGCACCTCCCACAGTGACTCCCTGGGAACCCATTCATACGCCTTCTCCAAGTCTACAAAACACATGTAGACTGGATAAGCGTACTCCCAGGCCCCCTCCAGGATCCTTGCGAGAGTAAAAAGTGATCCGTCGTTCCACGACCAGGACGGAATCCGCATTGTTCCTCCTCAATCTGAGGTTCGACAATCGGCCTGACCCTCCTTTCGAGTACCTTAGAGTAAACTTTCCCGGGGAGGCTGAGTAGTGTGATGCCTCTATAATTGGCACACACCCTCTGACCCCCCTTTTTGAAAAGGGGAACCACCACCCCGGTCTGCCACTCCTTCGGTATTTAAAACATAATAAACATAATTTATTATAAAGTGAAGGCTTAATTCAGATCTAGATAATGCCATAGGTGCTGCTTTTGTGAACAATATGTAAAAATACCAACCACTCTCCTCTTTAGAACATTTGTATGGAGTGTAAATTGCAGTCTACGGTATTATTTATAAACCATTAAAAAGAGATATCTGAGGTCAGGAGTACTGACCTGACCACAAGACATGCATTTTAAAACTGATTTCATTTGAGAGGAACCAATTCCGAACAGGCAACAAAACCATTACTATAAAAACCATGGTGTTTTCTGAAATCAAACGTGGTTTTGAAGGACAATGAAGACTATTTTCAGAGACGTGATATAAGAGAAACCATGGAAAATGAAGCGAGTATGTGCTGCGTTATGAAAGTAACTACTAAAAGTGCACCTCTGAGCTTAAAGGTGGGGTATGTACTTTTGGAGAAACCAGCTTGAGTGCGCTAGAATTTGAAAATACACAACCGGAAAAAATCTGCCCCTTCCTTACAGAGCCCCTCCTCCAACACACACGAACGTGCACATGACCAATGAGGGTTTGTGCACAGATGGAAGGCTGACAGGCAGGTAGGCCATCCAGTTACTTTAGCCGGGCCGGCTCAAATGATTGGTCGTGCTTTTTACAGTACTACGGCTTCCACAGATGCATTTTTTTAATGTATTTATTGTCAAAGCATTTAATATATTCATTGCTATCGGGATGTTAAGAGCATTCCATGGAATATAACAAAAAGTGTTTCTGAAATAAATTATATACCCCACCTTTAAGAAATAATTGTGAATTCTTGAAAAAGGTCAATGTTAGGGCCACATGAGATGCCTCGTATCTCTTTATGGTCATTAGCATCTTCTACATTTCTACCTAGTAGTTTTTTGCACCTAATCAACTGACATTTTCATCGCTTTGTAGTTGTTTTGCGTTCCTTAACAGTCATTCTGCACATCTATGTACTCGTTTTGATTTCCAAAAGGCAAGGTAACAGTTAGTCCATACAGACAGGGATGTGCCACTCCTGGCCAGCCCTTTGGCCCGGTGTCTGCGTACCTTCTCCTTGTACAAGGGTCTGGTCAGTCAGGGGGACCTCCAAGGTCACTTCTTGACTTCCATTCACGACCTCTGTCTGGTCCAGTCCCAGCATACTTTGCTGCTCTTCTGAGGTAGCAGGTGGTTGATGGAGGGAGTCTCCCTCTATTTCCACCTGCATTTCATGGTCCACCGTGCCCCCTCCTAAGTGGTCATCTGATGACTGGGGCTGCAGCTGCTGGGCCAATTCATACCTGGTTCGGCAGAACATAAGTTGTATTTATTGAGGTGTTATTATGTTGTACGTGGACTTCCTTGTCAAGGACTGCTCCTAGATCTATGGGGGAAAAAAGTATACAAGAACAAACAGCAATAAAAAACTGTGCAGAGAAAGCCCAAACCTGTGTGTCTTCATGTGCTTCCTGCAGTTGGGAGATGACTTGAAGGTCTTCTGGCAGTATGGGCACATGTAGGGTCGTAGGTCACTGTGGGTGGTCATGTGACGTCGCAGGCTGCCGCTGGTGGTGAATGTGGTGTCGCACATCAGGCACTTGTACGCCTTTAAACCAGAGTGGGTCCTGATGTGAGCCTTGAGGACTCCCGAGGAGGCAAAACCCCGACTGCACTGCAGACACTTGTAGGGCCTTTCTCCTGTATGAGACCTGGGATGATAAAAGGATAACATAACGGAGAACATAAGTAGTTTCAAGTGGGACACAAATTATTAAAAGTAAAGAAATGCCATCTTTATACAGCAATCATTCAATATTATATACAGAATACAATTGAACTGTACCAACTGTCAGTACATGAATTAGAAAAAATACTTGTATTATAAATTCTGTATTGGACAATGTTATTCAAGGAGCTTTACCTGGTATGCTGTTTCAGATGGCTTGATTTCTTGTAGGCCTTATTACAGAACTGGCACTTGTATGGCCGGTCACTGCCCACCACCTCAAGGTATTGTTGAAAGGCCAAGCGGGGGTTTTGGGATGGGATGAGGCCTGTTAAGCAACATGTGAACAAGAAACATGTGTTCCATTTGAAAAAAGAAATGTAGTTAACTGATCAATGGGTTTCACTTCATCTCAAGAACAATTTAGAAGGCGAGTTTGTTCACAATCGTTAACATAACATTTTTTACCAAAGTCAGTGATGAGGATGGGTTCCTGCAGGGGGATGTCGGGCAGAGGTAGGTTACTCTTGGACACTTTGGCTTTGTTGGCTTTGCGAGGAAACTTGTGCTTCTTTTGCTGTAAACTTTTGAAGTGAGACGCAATGTGTGTTTTCCTGTGGCCTGATGTGCGGAAGATCTTGTCACAGTGAGGGCAGGGAAAAGGACGTACACCTGGGAAGAAAGAAAAAGCACTTTTGGAGAATTAGTATTTAGAGAATTAGACTGATCCTGACATGTAAATAAACTACAATTAAATATATTAGAATGTGCTATCCCTAAGAAAATCTAGATAAATAATATAAAACCCAAGCCTTGCAGTTAGCAGGAAACAATATATATAATATATATTTATGAAAAATTACAGCACAAGAAAAAGTGACAATGATATCAAACTGTATACGCACAAGCCTTAGTGAGTAACACAGCTGAGAACATTAAGAAAAGTCTTAGCTTAGAGCTAAAACGTGGCCAAAAGTAAACACCTAACATAGACAAGTGCCATTACATAGCAATCATAGACAACAACTAATGCACAGATGCACATAATAATTAAAGTTATACAGTTTTTTATTCCACACTAATGCTGACATTTTATGTCCATGGGGATGCTTGTTTAGGTCCATCTCGCTAAGTAGAGGCAAATTCAGGATAATTGCAAACACATAATTGCAAATGAGGGATCTGGCTGTAGCAGCACCACTATGTATGTACACAGGTCTAGCAGATTTTTTCTCTCTCTGCATAATTTATTATACCATATAGCTGATAACTAAATGATAAAAGGCTGGAAACATTATGTTGAAAGCTCATGTATGTCCTCTTTTCTACTCAAAGGTGGGGTAAGTAAGTTTGAGAAACCGGCTCGAGATACACTTTTTGTTATATTCCATGGAATGCTCTTAACATCCCGATAGCAATGAATATCTTAAGTGCTTTGACAAAAAATCCATAAAAAATGTCATCTGTGGAAGCCGTGGCGCTGTAAAAAGCACGACCAATCATTTTA